CATGCGGTCTGCGGAGGGGCCCCTACGTCCAGCGGCTGCAGAGGGCGGGGGTCGCCGGCCGGGCGGGGGTTGGCTCTGCGAGGAGCGCGGCCTCCGCAGGTGTGTGCGTTGCAGGTGAGTTTCAGGAGGAGGGACACGGTGCTGCGTGAGCGTCCCTGTGCGTGCTGTGGGTCTGTGCGCGCACGTGTGTCCGCACGCCGCCGCCCTGCGTGTCCACCTGCCCATGCGGCGTCCCCTGCCAGGTGTGTGCAGCGTGCCCGCGTGGCACGGGGGCCGACAGGGTCCTGAAGTCAGGCGGCGGAGAGCCCCCGCCCCGCCTCGTTTTGGACAAGGGTTTGTCCGCCTGTAAAATGGAAGGACAGCGAACCTGCACGGAGAATGATAGCAGGAGACAAGGCGGCGAAGCGCTGAGCCGCGCCTGAAACGCGGGAAGGGGCCCAGGAAACGTGCTGCCCACGCTGCTGGCACTATTACCGTCGGTAGTGGCTTCACGGTTGCTAGGAGGTCACTTGGTGTCACAAAGGCTTTGCACTCGGCGACAGCACATAACAACAATATTGCCTGTGAAACGTCTGCGGGTTGGACCCACACAGCACCGCTGCGAAAGAAAGGCCTGGTGATCAGCTTCCATAAAAGGGGGCTGTGTCCTCAAGTCCATTCTGACCCACAGCGCCCCTAGAGGACAGAGTGGAACTGCACACAGGGTCTCCAAGATTGGAAATCCTTAGGGACTCGGACTGCCTCCTCTTTTTCCCACACAGCAGCCGGTGGGTTCGAGCTACCAGCCTTTTGGTTAGCACCCAGTGCTTTGCCCACTGCGCTGGCCGAGCTCCCTGCTGTCAGTCAGCGTTAGCCACCAGAAAGATGATGTGAACCACATACATTACATTTCCTACTAAATCACCTAGGAGCTCTGGTAGCATAGTGCCTAAGGCATATGACTGCTAACCAGAAGGCTGGCGGTTCAAACCCACCAGCCACTCCTCGGAAGGAAGGTTGGGCAAGCTACTTCCGTAGTGATACTGCCTTGGAAAGCCAAGGAGGGGTCGCTATAAGTCGGGGCCAACTCGATGGCACATAACAACAACAACAACAACCACTAAATCACCTTAGGAATGAAGATACAGGTAAAGTTATAACTGATGTAGCCAAAACACGGTCATCTCAGCGTGTAACTAAAACAAAAAGTACTGAGCTGTTTTCGTTTTTCGGCATGCTGTGGTCGGGTGGCATCCAGTCCATTTCTACTTCTGGTGGCCCCTGTGACGGACTAGAAGTGCCCGCCCCTCAGGGTTCCCTGGGCTGCGAGTCTCTGTGGGGACACGCTGCCTCATCGTTCGCCCCTGGAGCGTCTGGGTGCCAGCGGCCACCTTCAGGTTGGCAGCCCAGTGCTTTAACCATCGCCCCCCCCAGCTCCGTGGGGTTCAGCAGCGTGCAGCCATATTAGCACCAAAGCAGTCAGTACTTTCTCCTGAACGTTATCGGAAGGATCAAAAGGGAGAGGTTATTGTTTGTGGCTTTTGAGTGATTCCTAGTCACGGTGACCTCATATGTGCAGAACAGAACCACCCCACAGTCTTCAGGGCTGTGACCTTGCCAGGCCTTTACTCCGTGGTGCTTGTGGGTGGGTTATCGCCACCAACCCCTCGACAGTAGTCGAGCACTTAGCCATTTGTGCACCAGGGACTTCTAGGGTGCTGAGAAATATCCCACTGCGTGCGTGCCCCACGTTTCGTGCACCCACTCCCCTGTGGCTGGAACCTTGGGCTGTTTCCACCTTTTGGCCGCTGTGAAAAGTGCTGCAATGAACATGGTTACGCGTGCCTGTCTTTAAGTCCCCGTACTTTATCGCTCACTAGCTGACTCTCCCCTGCCTCTGGAAAGGAAGTGCCACAGGCATCTTTGTTCTGGTCACCGCTGCGTCTCAGTGCCCAGCACACAGCTGAACAAAGGTTTTTTCAATGACTAAGTGTGTGTCAGCCCTCAGGTTGCGAATCCTGTGCCTGGGAAAGGAGTCAGAACCCTACATCGGGAGAAGGAGACGGAGAGAGGCTTTGTCCTGCCGCACAAGTCTGTCTCAGAAGAGCCGCCTCCTGGGGACATGCAGACTCTTAGGCCCGAGCAGCTGCGGGGACTGCTGGAGCCCGAGCGGGCCA